TCCCCTCTGTCCTTCCTTCCTCTCTCCCTTCTCCCCTCCATTTTTTTCTCATCCTGTGAAAAATCGGATTCCCTCTGCAGCTGGGAAGAGTGGTTTACCAGCTCCCACGTGGCGGGTGAGAACTAACTCAATATTTCCTGGTGCCTGGAGGTTTCCAAGTGGAAGCTTGCTGGCATCTTCTGCCTTGGTTTCCTGATTTCTCAGATTCGTGCACTGAGGTTTCTTCTCTGGCAGCTGCAGGGCCCTAACAGCTTTTCCTGGTCTCTATCTTAGAAACTATACACCAGTCCTCCAAATGCGTTAGTATTTTCCACACCGAGGGTCAGTTCATAGTGATCACTTGATCCAAGGTTTCCTCTACTTTATCTCTTTGCAGAGCCTATTTTCTACACTCTTGCTGGATCCAGGCCTGCACGCCTTCCCGAATCCACCACCACAGTCCCAATTGTTCCTTGAAATGAACGTTCCTGGAGCGCCCTCTCGTGGACTGTTGAGGTAACCATCTGTCTAGAGAAAGGTCATGGCTACGCATGCGCAGGACCACCAGCCCATCTTCGGTAATGATACTCTGCGGAAACATTACGATTACGTAGGGAAGCTAGCAGGCAGGCGGGACCCCCCTGACGGTGGAACCCTCGTCACCACCGTCCTCTTTTTGGTCACCTGTAGCTTCATCGTCTTGGAGAACCTGATGGTTTTGATTGCCATCTGGAAAAACAATAAATTTCACAACCGCATGTACTTTTTCATCGGCAACTTGGCTCTCTGCGACCTGCTGGCCGGCATAGCCTACAAGGTCAACATTCTGATGTCCGGCAGGAAGACGTTCAGCCTGTCTCCGACAGTGTGGTTCCTTAGGGAGGGCAGTATGTTCGTGGCCCTTGGCGCGTCCACCTGCAGCTTATTGGCCATTGCCATTGAGCGGCACCTGACCATGATCAAGATGAGGCCCTATGACGCCAACAAGAAACACCGTGTGTTCCTTCTGATTGGGATGTGCTGGCTGATTGCCTTCTCGCTGGGCGCCCTGCCCATCCTGGGCTGGAACTGCCTGGAGAACTTTCCTGATTGCTCTACCATCTTGCCCCTCTACTCCAAGAAGTACATTGCCTTCCTCATCAGCATCTTCACAGCCATTCTAGTGACCATCGTCATCCTGTACGCGCGCATCTACTTCCTGGTTAAGTCCAGCAGCCGAAGGGTAGCCAACCATAACTCCGAGAGATCCATGGCCCTGCTGCGGACCGTGGTGATAGTGGTGAGCGTGTTCATAGCCTGTTGGTCCCCCATTTTCATCCTCTTCCTCATTGATGTGGCCTGCAGGGTGAAGGAGTGCTCCATCCTTTTCAAGAGCCAGTGGTTCATCATGCTGGCTGTCCTCAACTCGGCCATGAACCCTGTCATCTACACCCTGGCCAGCAAAGAGATGCGGCGTGCCTTCTTCCGACTGGTGTGTGGCTGTCTAGTCAGGGGCAACGGGACCCAGGCTTCACCCATGCAGCCTGCTCTTGACCCAAGCAGAAGTAAATCAAGCTCCAGTAACAACAGCAGCCATTCCCCAAAGGTCAAGGAAGACCTGCACCATGTGGCCACCTCTTCCTGCATCACTGACAGAAACAGACCACTTCAAAATGGGGTCCTCTGCAAGTGACCATCTCCAAAGGGCCAGCTCTGCAGCCATACTTATTTATTGCATGTGTTACTTCCATGTGGGCTCTTAGAGACCTTGACTTTGGAGGTCTGCTTGATGTGGCCACAGTGTGGGCATCTTCTGAGGAGGAGACCCAAGGAATCATCAACACATTTCAGCCTGGATATGGACGTGCCTCGCCTGTTGCATGCAGGCTCCATCCTTCTGAATGTACCAAGCTGCTGATATCATCCACTGCCTTTGGCTGCCGCTTTCCCTGGTCCAGGTGCCAGAGGGCAGGTGGTGATGCGCTATGCACAGTGCACCTTGGGATGATGTTTCGTTATTTTCACACTACATTTATTTTTCATAGAATGGGTGCTCGTGTACGTGTGTGTCTGCTTCTGTGTTACCTAGGAAGTGCACACCAGGTTTTCCCAGGTATAATCCACATGAAGTGCCAGTCCTCCGTACATTATGGAACTGTTTCTCCAAACCTGCCCCCACTGCTCTACCAGGTTCAAGGTCACCACCACATGCTAAGGTGATGCGCCCCTCCCAGTCCCAGTCCTCTAGCATTGGCGTTTTAGCTTATAGTAGTGGAAAGTTACTAAAGCTCTGTGTTCTCAAACGCCTCACCAAAGAGAAGCCCAGATGTGTGGGTCCCTCTCTCTTGTGTTCCATGCATAAGCTTAAGCACATCTGAAACCCAAATTATCTGATAATTTGGGCATTTCTGAACATCACAGAAAAGCCAGCTAGGCTCTCTCAGAACCCACTAAGGAAAGAGCCCATAAGGAGAGGTAAGGTGCTCTCCACCATGGGTCTCTGTTCCAAGGGAGTCAGTCTGCTGCATGTGGGAGTTGCCAGCAGTGAGCTTTACAAGCCAGCCTTCAGCTGGATGATGCTGAGTTCAATTCTACATAGAAAAGCTCGATGTCAAACGTCCCCTTTGCTGTCCCTGGCAAGGAGCTGGAGCTATCAGCAAAGCTTCTCAGCTCCCTCAACGTGAGGGAGCCCTGACCAGGACCATTCAGTGAGAGGACTCTGCCAGGCTAGGAGGTGTGACATGGCTATTTGTACATTCTTCAGAAAGAAGCATCGTCATTCCTTCATGGTGGACGCCTCCATCACTTGGACCTGCATTCCTTTGTCCACTTTGTAAAGGAAGCGCTCAGATGGCACCTCCGAAGTGCCCCTCCCCAAGGACTCCAGCCACAGGCCACACAGATGGAATGTCGTCGGTGTGTCTGGAGGGCTGGCCAGCACCCATGCTCCCAGAGAAGCCTTCCAAAGGACTCTCACTTGGGGGGACCTCATGTCAGAGCTCCCCATAAGTTGATTAGTGTCAGAGACCATTGCCTTATGAACCCTGCCTTTACACACCAGGAGCCTTTTTGTAAGCTGATTTTACTCTTGGTGGTTACCTGATGGCATTTGTTCTTGCTTAGGGATCCTAGGTAACCGTGGGCTGATTGACTAAAGAGTTTCCTTCACATCACTCCTGGTGGATACAGCACGCTGCCAAGATGTTCTGCTGGAGCGTTGCTCTGCGCTCTTCTCTACATCACTGAGAAAAAAGAACTTATTCTCTTGTCACAAGCATTGACAATCCAAGACATTTCTGGAAAAGGAAAGCATGAAAGTGTCGGGCTAAGAAAAACAAAACAAACAAAAAAGCAAAAACAGAAAAAAAAAAAATAGACCAGTGTGCGGCGGAGTTGAGGTGGGAACAGAAGGGCTGGAGGACATGCGCCTTCGTGCCTTGAGGATGGGCCTGGGTCACGAATATCAATAACGCATTTTGCATGACCCTGCCTGGTGATATCCTCCTGTGGCTGTGTCCACTCGGCAGCCCCTGCTGGGAGCCGTGCCCACCAATCCTGCTAGGAGGCAACATTTGTAGCATGACAGACTTTGAAGCAATTGAAATTTAAAATACACTAAAATCTAAGTGTGCTCACTTGATGTACTCAAAACTGATCGACCACCTGTGATGCCAGTGTCCACTGCTTCACTAGTTAGCCACCTGTACAGCATTTAGACGTGGAGTGTGTGCAACCCCCACCCTGGCGGTCAGAAACAAGTGACCTGCCACCAGAGCACCTGGGGCCCCCCAGGGCTGTGAGCAACCTCTACTACTTACAGTTTATGTTTATTAATAATTAATAAAACTAAAAGACTTCATAGAAAACCCATTCTTGGGGTCTGTGTGGTAGACTGTTTTGTCGTTTTGCAATAGGCCCTTGGGGGTCTAAGGGGGTGGTCTTGCTTCTCCCCTGGTACCTGGTCTCACAGCATTTCAGGAATAATCCACATTTAGTAACCCAGTCACTGTGTCCCATTATCCCCCAGCCCCATCACGTAAGTGATGTTACGATGAAGCTTTAGTGTGCTGGATGCTACGGACACCAGTCTGGGGAGATACTGTTTTACTGTTGTTGGTAGTGGTGGGGGCGGGGGGGAGCATGTGTGTCTGTGGTGTGTGCATGTGTGTGCACATGTGTGTATTGTGCAGGCAGGAGTAGAGGCCAGAGGTTGATGTTGGGTGTCTTGCTCTGTTGCTCTCCATCTCATTTTTTGAGACAGAGGCTCTCACTGAACCTGAAGCCGCCTGTTTGGTACACTGACTAGTCAGCAAGCCCCTGGGATCTGTCTCCCTCCTGCTGGGATTACAGACACAAACTGCTGAGTGTGTCTTTTCCATAGGAGCCATTTCCCAGCCTAGATCCCATGTTTGGAAGAATGGTAATAGCCCCTCTATAGGGGAGAAATTACAAAATAAAAAATAGAAACATTGTCCGAGCAGAGGGCATCAGACTGGGTGGTGTTTGCCAATGATGTGCAAGACGGGCCAGCAGGTCAGCACCAGCCCTTGGAACTGGCGCTCTGTCTTACAAGTGGTAACTTTTAGCCTCTAACCTGCATGCCACACAAAGAGGATCCATGTTTGGTATGTTGTTCTGGAGACTACAGTTGTTATAACTTGTAGCTGAAAGTTCCCAATGAAGCCTTCCCACGGTCTCTCACCTCTGACCTGCCCACGGCCATTTGTGTTCCAGATCGCAAAGTCGGTGTGAATCTTTTGAAGTGTTTCTGCCATTTTTTCTTCTGAGGAAAAGCAGACACTTAATTTCTAGAGAGTACTTTTCAATCTATCCTCCTGTCTTCTGTGAAGCATTATAAGATTCAGGGCTGGTGAATTGGCTCAGCGGGCAATGGCACTTGCTGCCAAACTTGATGGCCTGGGTTAGACCCCCAGGACCCACAAGATAGGAGGAGACAACTGACTCCCACAAGTTGTCCTCCAACTTCTACACATGCATTACGGCACCATACAAACATAAGCTCCATTACGCAAACAAGAGACAACTTTTCACAGTAGCCTTTATTGCCAACAGACTTACACCTATAGTCACTGAAACAATTAACTATTTAAAAATGGTTGTTTCTCTCAATCTTTGAGCCATGGTTCTTCTGTGCTGGGAAAGAGCTGTTCACAGAAAGGTAACAAGGTGCGTTATAGAAAATGTCTAATTGCAACACTGGTTCCATGCTTTGGAAACTGTGGACAAGTGCAAACCTCATCACCCAAATGCTTTTAGTGTCAGAGGTTCAGAGGGGCTGCTATGGAATCCGGAATGCATGGATGGCTGTCTAGATGATGAAGGCACATATTCCAGTACCTAGAAATAACAAGGAGAGCAGCATTGTCTACAGCCCTTGGCTGCCACCTGCCATATCTGGGCCATGGGGAGGGATGCTGTATTCTGCCTCCACTTGGTCATCCCAGAAGCTTGGGTGTGGTGTGCCAGGCCCATGGTGAAGGGCATGAGACAGGCAGCAACACCATTCCCCAAAAGAGCAAGATGGAGTCCCTGGAGGTAAGGCAGTCCAAGCCAATTACCTTTGCCTGTTGTGTCTTGGGATCTCCAAATGTTCACCAAATCATGTAAGTTTTATCATAGAAAAATATTAGAAAACTTGAAATTGGTTTTGTATTTTTGCTCCTCGCAGGTGACTTAGGATGCCAGTTCCATGCCAGTATTTAAGTAGAAAGGTGCAGGTTGGCCATAAGCCCAGACAGACTGCTGCTACAGTAATAGTCTGTCTCACGAAAGTTAACAGAAACAAAAAATTTCCAAATATTCATATATCAATATGTATGGCCATCCAAATGCTTTTGAAAAACTATTAAATACCTTGTTACACATGACATTTATACTGAGCTGTCTCCTAATCCTGGGTCTTTAAACATCAAATGTTTAATTCTGAATACAAAGAAACTCACATAATTTCATAATACTCTGAAACAAGTTATATCCAATAGTCGGTTGAACAGAGAACAGTCAACTGGCAACTCACACATAGTGTTAAAAGAAAAAAGAAAAGAAAACTCATCGCCCAAGCTTGGTTAGTCCACTCATCCCTGCCTTGTGAGTTGTCGCTTACTCCAGTGTTAGTGGCTTTGGTTGTGGGAAAATGTTGTGGGTACAGTGTGAACCAGTACCTTAGAAGGTTCACCCCACAGGATGGTCCTTTACGCACAAGGGGTGCATAAAGCTGTTCATTTCCTGTGGTTTCTCTCTCTTACCCTAAGACAAGAATCACTAATGTGTTTGGGAGGTCTCCGGGATTCACTTACCCAGGGCTTCTGAGTGAGAGGCAAGGCTGGCTCTCAGCCTGCTCTCAGCATCCTGCTGACACCAGCAGTTTCCAGGCAGGCTTGCATCTTGAACTTTTGCACACTTCTCTGCCTCGCAGGCACCACAGTGCCACCTACCTACTGTGCAAAGCCTTCGGAACCCCCAGCTCAGCCCTGACCCTTGCTGGGCCCTAACTGGATGTGGGCACACCAGCACTGAAAGGCCTCCGCACGCCAACACTCTCACACGGCCCCAGGTGTGTTAGGGGTGGACTTTCTATTAAATTAAAAACAGGGGCAGATCCACCGGTGTTTCCTTCTCTGTCCCAAGAGTCCCTCCAGGGCCAGGTGCATAGGACATGCTGTACCAATGTGGCCAGCAAGGCTGGCAAGCCAAGTCAGGTTAGGCCTGCGCAGTACTGGAGCCAGAACAGATGTGCATCTACAGTTGTTTCATCTCTTTTCCTTTATCCAACATCTGCCCTTCCTTATCCTTGGCTGACTGCCCTCCGGCTTCTACCGCCCAAGTGCTGGGATTACAAACATCATCACTATACTATACTGGCTTGCTTTCCCTCTGTCATGGTCCACAGTGACACTCCTCCCCAACTCTCCTAGCAAGCCATTCCTTCCCTTTTTGTGCCATGGTCTCACATTCCACAGCACCCAGCACCCTGTTCCTTGAGTCTGCTGATGAGAGTCTATTAATCCCCTAGCTCTTGGTGCCATTTTGATTGACAGTTGTTCATGTTAGTAAAACCCAGGGGCTCACGATGCCCTGCAGAGAGTTGATCTGTGTGTGGACACACACATGCTGAGTGAGGTACACATTCCATCTGAATCAAGGAAAGTTTGTGTTTGTGTGTAATGTACACATGCAGTTCACACTCAAAAAACCTGGTAGAAAGTTGCAAGATTTTTTTTTTCTGGCTGCTATAAAATGTGCCAGTTTTAAAACTCTGCATTTGTTGCTTGCAAACTTATAAATATGTATAAACCCCATTATAAATAAATCTTGTCTGGCAGATGGCATTTTATCTGCCAGCCACAGTTGCAGGGAGTTATAAGTACTTATTAATTCTCCACTTTTAAATTCACAGAATGGACCTGGGATCTATGACATGAAGTGGTGTGAAAAATTCTTCATAAAAGGTGGGGGAGGGGAGGGGAGGGGGAGCCACCCGTAAGAGTCAATGAAGGGCTAGAACACTCACCAGTCAATGTCAAAGCCGAGACCCCAGGCATACCCATCATCCTCATACTGAAAATGCAAGCATGCCATCCTTGCTCTAGCCCCACTGAGTTGGGACCTCGAGGGGCAGAGCCCCGAAATCTATGTGTGGGATAAGCAGCCTGCTGCTTTGACATCTGCCTTCTGCTCTGTTTATTACGAACGCCAGCCTCTGCTCCAGAATGTCCCAGCTTGCAGAGAATGCATGGGTGTACACAGGGCATGGCAGACATCACTGGAGATAGCCTTCCACCCATGCTGGCTGCAGTGGAGCCCCTGCCCCTCCACTGGCTACCTCAGGTGTGTTCAGTTCTGCTCCCAAAGCTCAGCAGCTGGTAGACGCCCCAGGTATACACTTGATAGAAACATGCTCCACAGTGCAACCATTCCTCATCAGCCACTTCCCTCTTGAGTCCTGGGATCATTTCCAAAATAAGCTATATGTACCCAAATCCCCTCTGGGGCCACCTTTTGGGAGAACATCAGCTAAGTCACCAACCACAAGTCCTGTCTCTCATGTAAATGGCTGAGTCCTTCATGTGTTTTGAAATGTGAAATATGAGGATAAATGGACTGCTTGTTGCTTCCATAGAGTGAGCTACATGTTTGAGCCTCAACAGGCCTTAGTAAGTCCTGCATGCTTTACAAGATCTAGCCACTGACTATCACCATCCACTGCCTGGCTCAGTTTCTTCACCTAAAAAACAAGGGCCCCTCCAAGACAGCTGAACTGTCTTGGAAACACCTGCTCATTATCTCAGACAAAGCCAAGCAGTCTAGATTTGTAATATGTTCCAGGAGTGGGGTTTATCTATACTGTCTTTCTTGGAAAAAACTTCAACAGTTTCATAAGAACTAGCATCACACAGATTTGTCTGGGCACATGATCTCTTTTGCAATCCTTCTTCTATCCTCCTCCTACTTAAAATCTGGCTGTCACCATTCACAGGGCTGTTTATAGATGGCATGCCATCTTTGGCTTGTGGGGGAGAAGAGAAATATGCTTTGTGAATGAAGAGTCCCAGGAAGAAACCTTCCATGCACTTCGCATACTTATCAAACCACACCACTCTTTGAGGAAAGCCCTAGGGTGTGGCACAAGCCACGGATCAGAGAACCCATCTGGCAGCCAAAGCCACACTGTTCTAGGTGTCCTGGGCTGAGCTTTAGTGTTCTAGGTGTCCTGGGGCTGAGCTTGACTGTTCTAGGTGTCCTGGGCTGAGCTTTAGTGTTCTAGGTGTCCTGGGGCTGAGCTTGACTGTTCTAGTTGTCCTGGGCTGAGCTTTAGTGTTCTAGGTATCCTGGGGCTGAGCTTTACTGTTCTAGGTGTCCTGGGGCTGAGGTTTACTGTTCTGGGTGTCCTGGGGCTGAGCTTTACTGTTCTAGGTATCCTGAGGCTGAGCTTTACTGTCCTAGGTGTCCTGGGGCTGAGGTTTCCTGTTCTGGGTGTCCTGGGGCTGAGCTTTACTGAGGTGGCCACTGCTGCATCACTATCTTGGGGACATGGGGTTTCTACTCAACTCACTCCAACAAGAAGAGCATGTGATATTGGCTCTAACATGGAAATGAGATGGCCCCTCTATGGCCACTCCAATAAGGAAGCCTCCTAGGTGTCTGATTCTGCCATGGGGAAAGCCTCCCTTTGGGGAAGGGGGCATTTTCAGGACACCAGGATGGACATGGAGCCTGGACACATGGCAACTGAGACCTGAAGCCTATGGACTTTGGGGAATTCATTCTCCCTTGTCTCTTCCTCCCTTCCAATCTAGGCTTTTCCTTCCACTCATGGTGTATCACAGCCTTTACTTACAACTGCCTCTGTTGCCAGGACAACCTCACAGTTGCCACATGTGGCCTATTTGGCATCAGTCCATCAGTCCACCATCTGAGATGGCCTGTAACAGAAAGCTGCTCATCAAGGCTGAGCAGGCACCCAGCTCTTGGTTCTTTAAATACAAGAAGGACACCATGGCAACCTAAGTGTAGATTCACGATGGAGCTATTTGAATGTGTCGTTAGCAGACTGCCCACCTGATGGTGGGGGGAGAAGTTCAGAGCCAACCTAGACCATGATGAGCAGCCCCATGGGAAGCCCAACCAGCCTCACCAGCATGGAGAGGCTATTTGAAGCGCAGCTAACTCTCCCAGGAGGGCACGGAAAGAGGGACTAGGCAGGAGCTTTAGGGCCACGGTGCCAGAGCAGAGAGGCTGCTTTAAGACTGTTGGGCCCCATCACGCACCACTAATGGATGCAGAGTTCTGGGTGGTGTAGCAGGATGCCCACAAGAAGGAGCACAGGATCCAGGCACACTTGGAATGCTGATGCCTGGCCTAGACTCGGCCACTGTGCCCAGGAGCTGGAGACCTGAATGCACGATATAGTGCTGTTCTGCCTGGAGTTGCTGCTTTGTAGCCTGTAACCCTGCCCTACCCAGGCGGATATGGGCAGGAAAGCGAAGGAAGAGGAACTCGGGCTCAAGGACGAGGCTTTGCTGGGTTTGCCTCCAAGCCCTGGCCGCGAAGCACAGACTAGCCCACAGCTGTGCACAGAAAACACGGAGTGAGGAAAATGGCTCTGCTGTTGGCTGACCAAGGGACCTGAAGGGAGCCTCAGTTTCCCCATGTGTTTGTAGAAAGAAATGATAAACTTTTTGTGACCTCTGACATACTTGACAGGAAACATAGGTCAGAACATGGCTGTCTTGTGTCTGAAAAACTTCCCTAAGCACACGTCCAGTCCTGTAACCTGAGATCAAAATTACATATTTTGAATTAAAATTGAAAAGAAAAACATTGACCCCAGTACTTTCAATTTTCTAAATTGATTCCTATAAATCCTATCACCCTCAAACTCAACACTGACTTCAGAGAAGACTGATGTAATTCTGAATGCTGCTTTTTAACTTCCCTGGAGAGGGAAATAAAGCAGAGCAACACTTTATTGGTGACCAGAACATAGGCATTTTAGCCTTGCACAACATGGAGAATTCAAGAAGTGGGGGGAGATAATTATATAGATATATTTGTGTGTGGCACACATTTACACATGGGAGTAACAGGACCTGTATGTGTGTGCACAAGGCATAGCCTCCTGAGGGACAGAATGCTGGGTGACTCTTAGGAGCATCCCAAAGCCTATGTATATGGTCCCAGGGCAAGAGCCTGAGCCAGGGGCTATCAGTATATCTGCTCATCTCCAGGGCTTCATCCATGTAGTGTCTGCCACCAACACCATTCAGGATGAAGTAGGCCAGTGAGTGTTGATGCTAGGTTCCCCAGAATTCTAATTCTAGAACATTCTACTGCCAACTTGGATTCAGTGGGCCCTCAAAGGGTAAAAACTGAAAAGAGGCTCTCATGTATCTTCTCAACCCAGACTCACCCGTTGGCACCCAACTGAGTACACAGCAGGAGAAGCAGTGTTCCCACGCTTAGCTTTAGAGCCATGCAGAACCCTGATTTGCCTAATGGTTAAGTTTCCCCTTAACTACTCTTTTTTAAATATTAGTTTATTTTTATATGTATGGCTATTTTTGCTTGCAAATGTGTATGTGCATCATGTGTCTACTTGGTGCCCATGGGGGCCAGAAGAAGATAAATACCCGGGATTTGAGTTACAGATAACTGTGAGCTCTCATATGGGTGCTGAGAATTGAACTTAAGTCCTCTAGAAGAGAAGCCAGTGTTCTTAAACACTATACACCCTCTCTACACACACACACACAGTTCCTCTTAAAACATCCAATTTATGACCGTCCAACCCTAAAATGTTCAGCTTCCTTTTTTACTGACCCGAGGTGCCACACACATGGGGTCTCATGGGGACCAGAGCCCAGGTTGCAGTCTCATGAGGAGGTACCAACCAACAAATGCATCATCTGCCTGTGTTTGTTAAGTCACAGAGTGATCACAGCCCAAGTGTTTTTTAAGTCATAGACACAGCCAATTTTCAAGCATGAAATCACCCACCATGAATCAACAGCTTCTGAGCTGGTAGGAAGAGGGTCAAGATAGAGGGCCATGGGTGTGATCCCTTTTCATTGGGCTACTGAGAAGATGTGGAGGGGAGGGGAAGGGGTTCACCATCATCCTTCACTCCAGCTGGCTCCAAAGACTCTGGAGCATGATGCCAAGTATACACTGAAATGGGCAGAACAGACAGTGGGTGTGTCTCCAAGGCTCAATCCTGGGCAGAAGCTGGTACATGCCTCGCAAGGCTCTTACACATGCTTTTTGTTCTACTGAATACAAGAGGTAGGTGGGAGGCCATTTCACCAACACCTTCCACTCATAGCCTGTAATGAACACACTGGCTTGAAGGACATACAGACCAGGAAAACTTTCCATAGCCTGCCTTCCACAGACATTCATCACTATACTGATGAAAACAAAGGAAGCATTTGTCAATTGGAGATCTTAAGTCTTATTTTGTACCATATTTGGCCTCGAATGAATGCTCCAAATCCATACACACACACAACTGGGGTCAAAGGTGATGGGTCCCCATGACCCAAACAACATGGGTCAAACATGACCTGAAACATGACCCCAGAAAAGAGGCAGAGTACCACCTGCTTTGGAGTGGGGCTTCAGTGGGTCATCACGTGACAGAAAATCCATTGACATGCCATCTGTCTGGGGTTACAGAAGCCAGAGCCAGAGGAGGCACGTCCATCTGTGAACAAAGCTACAGCCCAGAACCAGCACTCACATGAGCTGTAGGGCAGGGGCAGATGTTTGGGCAGCATGCTGCCGTATTCTATCTCAAGTCTGTCTGTCCTGGGGCTGCCAGCTCACCTGCATTCACCTTGTGTTGTGCTTATTATATAGAACTGCAGATTACACCTTCCTAGCAAAATTTCCCAGTAGGTCAGCTGAATTAAAATTTTTGCCTGAACAACTACCATCAAATTTGCCTCTCACTAAAAACATACAGCATAGGGCATTAGTCTCACATCTTTCTTAGTCTTAAAAAATATAAATATAGGGCCCATTTGTACAGGATGTGTGGGTATATACACCTCTAATACGCATCTGAGATGTGTGGAACGTGTTTATGAAATCTGAACTTGAAGGAACGCTCCCTTGAGAGGAGCTCTTGAGGAAGGCGGTGTGCCCACAGACAGAGGCCCCAGTCCCCAGAGGCCGAGAGCAGTGGACCCAGGTCCCCCTGACCTGGCACAAGGCGTGGGCAGGGTGCTGGGCCAGCTCAGTGTTTCCTCTCCACTGGTTGCTGGAGGCAAAGCTCGCTCCCTGCAGAGACGATGGGCAAGCTGCTCTCAAGATGGTAGTTGATGAGGTGGCCGATGCTGTCAAAGACCCTGTCCTTTGTCCGGATCTGTGAGGATTAAACAAGGAGAGGTTGAGCAGGTGTCAGATGAAGAGAAGAAAGAACACATTGCGGTAGAACTATCCGGAACATCTGACTCAGCCCAGAAAGGCAAGGGGAGGGACGGCCTTCCTGGGTCTGAGGGCTCACTGTGCTTCAAAGAAGATTTCTGTAAAGACCCTGGTCACTGACAACAGCTGGTCAGTTTAGTGTACTTCACCTACCTGTCCCTCTGAGGCAGTCCTTGAAAATCTCAATCCACTGCCCTGTGGATACTGCCTACCTCATTCCTTCTCTCCTTGGCCTCACTGGGACAACAGGAAGTCCCAGCTAATGAAGACAAAAAGTACAGTAAAATATGGATTAGGAAGGAAAACAAAACTCCTTTGTTTACAGACTCCTGCATGACCATGATAAAAATCTGAGTAGACACCAACAATGAAAACTATTCTTGATCTAATACACAAATTAAATTTCCAAGATCCAAAGTTAATATGCAAAAGCCAATCACAGGCCAGGGAGATGGCTCAGTGGGTAAAGGTGACCTGAGTCCACACCCTGGAACCCTTGTGAAGGTGGAGGAAGAGAGTCAACTCCACAGAGCTCTCCTCTGACCTCCACACATACACCATAGCATGCATGTGGTTTTACACACACACACACACACACACACACACACACACACACACACACACCACCCAATAACAGTAAGTAAATAAAAAATTTTAGGTCAATCACTTTCTTACACACAAGCAATGACTACATAAAATTTGAGATTTAAAACAATGCCAATTACATTAACATAAAAAGTTAAAAACTCAGGTATTCAATGAAATATTTAGGTATAAATTTATCAAATATATATTATATATAATATACTTTGATAAATTATGATTTGATAAATTATATATATATTGATAAATATATATATATAATCTCAAAGCTACAAAAGCCTGATTTAAAAAAAACAAAGATTTCATTGAAAAGAAAAAATATTCCATGTTCATGGATAGCCAGATTATGCCATAATTTTAGTCATTTCCAATGTGGTCTTTAGATTCCATACAATTTCAATAAAAGTCATTGCAAACTAAGTTGTTGATATGAATAATCTTTTTCTAAAGTTTATGTGAAGAAGAAAAAGATCCAGGGTAGTCAGCAAAATACTGAAGGAAAAGAACAGGATTGGTTCCACAGTCTAATGGTTGGCACTCTGGACTCTGAGAGAAAAGAACAAATATGGAAAATTGTCACCATTCAGGACTCACCATAAAGCTACAGGAATCAAGACAATGACAAGTGCCTCCATGGGACAAAAGAGGGAGCTTAGGATGTACCCACCAGATAATGACAACTAATATTAATGACAGATAAAGTCATGAGTTGAAGAAAATGGTATTTCTAACAGATGGTCCTAGAACAATTGAACATCCATGTGAAAAAAAATATGGACCATTAATTCAAACATATTAAACAGAAAAATCCTAGAAATCAAATTCTTAGAAGATGATATAGGAAAAAATATAGACAACTATGGTGTTAGATAAAAGAAAAATAATGGCAAGTTCACAGAGAGGAAGCTGACAAGGGATGACCCTTCAGAGGGGTTTTATTAGGAGAATGGTTCAAGGCCAGAGGCAGCCATGATGAAGTCTTAGAGAGAGGCAAAGCATTAGGAGAAATAAGACACTGTACTACCTTCAATTCTGTATGACAAAGGGAGTTTCTGATTCATAGGCCTTCCCTTCCAAGGGGGTGGAAGATTCAGTGTGACCAAGTATATGTGCCACAAGTCAAGAAGGTACTGATAAAGATCATCTATTTAAAGTTGAGAGAGAGAGAGAGAGAGAGAGAGAGAGAGAGAGAGAGAGAGAGTAAATACAGCAGCCTCTTGATGTTCACAGAAAATTGGTTCCAAGATCCACTATTGTGGTAGTCTGAATGTAATTGGCTCATAGGCAGTGGCACTATTAGGAGGTGTGATCTTGTTGGAGTAGGCATGGCCTTGTTGGAGGAAGTCTCAGTTTACTTCCTGCTGTCTGTGGATCAAGATACAGAACTCTTAGCTCCTTCTCCAGCATCACATTTGCCTGCATGCCACTGTGTTTCCCACCATGAGGATAATGGACTGAACCTCTGCAACTATACTTATAAGGCAGCCCTAATTAAATGTTTTCCTTTAAAGGAGTTTCTGCGGTCATGGTGTCTCTTCACTGCAATAGGAATGCTAAGACAACTACAGATATCAAAATCCAGGGAAGTTCAAGTCCTTTACGTATAAAATGGTTTACCATTTGCACAGTATACACACATCCTACCATAGACTCCAAACTGTCTCCAGATCTCTTGTTAGATCATAGGCCAGAGGCTGACCCTCTCCCCTTTGACTATACTCCACCCCCAATCCCACAACTCGCTTTCTGGGACAGAAAGTGATAAAACTGTGACTTTGCAGCTCTCACATTTCTTTACCTTCCACTTGGAACTATGAGCAAGTCCAGCCCCCAATCTCTGGACCAAGCACAACCTTGAATTATAGCTTCATTTTTACCTAATGCTTTCTTGCCTTCTCATGCCTGGCATGTAGACCAAGCCAGGCTAGGTCATGGTATGGAGCTTACCTCTGGGCCCCACACTGAAATCCTATGAGACTCAGTGTTGTAGAATATTATTTTAAGGTGTGTTCCTTTTATGTTGAATTTGTTTAACTCTGTGAAGCTGTGTTACTGTGCCTGTCTAAAAAACCTGATGGTCTAATAAAGAACTGAACGGCCAATGGTGAGGCAGGGGAAAGGATAAGTGAGAATATATAGAAGGAGAAAGGTGGGAAGATGAAGAAGGAGCCAGAGGAGGAGGATGACTCCAGAGGTCAGCCACCTAGCTACACAGCCAGCCACAGAGCAAGAGTAAGATTTACAGAAGTAAGAGAATGGGAAAAGCCCAGAGGCAAAACATAGATGGAATAAGTTAAGAAAAGATGACAAGAAAGAAGCCAAGCTAAGGCTGGGCAGTCATAATTAAGAATTAGCCTCCGTGTGTGACTTATTTGGGAGATGGGTGGACAGCCCCCCAAAGGGCAAAAAACCAAATGACTCAGAAAACCCCATTGTCCTTAGGGATTGAAGGGCCCTTCCTTCAGGACTCCTTCAGGTATGTGGTAGCTTGTCTCTTCTGATGCAGCTCCCTTAAGGGCTTTGAAGGTGCTCCCTCTGCCTTTAGGACCTCATCCTGCCTCTGGACCTAGTCTCTCTGTGTGTCTCTCCGTCTCTGTCTCTCTGTCTCTCTCTGTCTCTGTTTCTGTCTCTCTGTCTGTCTCTGTCTCTCTGTCTCTCAATCTCTCTGTCTCTCTCTCTCTTTCTCCTAACCCTCTGTTCTCCCATGTCAAGGTCTGGTCATGACCACCCATGGTTCCAAGGCTCGCTCTCCTAACAAAGGGGAATCCCACCTCAGCTTCCCTTTCTACAAACATTCATGATACCATGGACATAGATGCTCCCCTGCTCTGTCTGGGGATAATGGCAAGAAGATTTTATGTGCTCAATGCAGATAGTTTTTTTTCTTCTTTCTTTTTTTAATATTTGAAGATTTATTTATTTTATGTATATGGTACTCTATCTGTATGTGCACCTGCATGCCAGAAGAAGGCATCAGATCTCATTATAGATGGCTGTGAGCCACCATGTGGTTCCTGGGAATTGAACTCACCACCTCTAGAACAGCTGCCAATGCTCTTAACTACTGAGCCATCTCTCCAGTCAGATATTTTTTTTTTCCCTCAAGTCACAGCTAGCCATAGAAGATCCTGTCACAGGTAATTCCACCTTGAAAATGGTGTCTCAGGAGCCCTGTGGCTGGAGACAATACCAGTCTTTCATCCCAAGAAGATATCTATCTTCACTCTCTGTCCTCCATAAAACCCTACCACAGGCCTTACCCTGTCTGTGGGAGCCCAGAAGAGCTTAGAAGGTACCCTGTCTCTGTGAGGCCTCTGGGGCTGGGGTTCAGGCCTTACCCCAACTATGGGAGCCCAGAAGACCTTAGGCAGTATCTTTCTCTGTGAAGCCTCTGGGGCTGAGGTGCAGTCTGACCAGTAGCAGAAGAAACCAGAGGGAAACCTTCAGTTTTTCTGTGAACAGTGGGGAAGCTGAGACCACTACCCACGATGTCTCCAAAGCTGTCTCCCATCTCACTCTCAATCATCAAAGATAGTATCGGAGACCAACAGAGAACACAACTGAGCCTATACCTTTGTGAAACTCCACAAGCTCAGAGTCCAGCTGGAGAAGAGGAAGTGGCCTCTCCCCGTAGCCAGGCTCACTTGGGGGAAGAGTCAAGGCAGGACGCCCCCCACAACCCTCACCCCCGTCTGAAAGTGCTCCCAGGTGAGGCACCTTCTGAATCCGGGAGGTAGAAACTGCCTTTATTGCCCCCTTGTGGCCGAAAGTGTGCAATGTTGGGGACCTTGAAATTTTCTAGGGGGATGGTTCCTTGAACACGGTGTGGTGCCTGGGAAGACTTTGTTCCTGGACAGCACCTCTGTCACTTGGAACTCAACATGGATGCCACAATGTGCAGCCCAGGAAGAATCGGAGAGGGAAGAATCATGGCAAGCCCAGGAGCTTCATGGGGTTTCCCATAGAAGGATGGCTAAAGGGTCCTTCCCAGCCAGGACCTTCACTGACAGGGAAGTCACACTAGTCCGGGGCCAGAAGTGACTTACACAGTCACAATGGGTGGCACCTTCCTTTCTATATAGTGGTCTAAACACAGTCCCAGTGAGAGCCATCACTCAGAAAGCTAAAGCCTTGGGCCATCTTGTCAAGCAGAAACCAGGCCCTGCTGCCCTCAGCAAGGATGGCCTACAGTCTAGTCAGAATTGGGCCATCAAAGGAGTACCCACGCAGGGACTTGCCTAATGCTGGCCAAGCATCTGGCAGTGCCTGTGGTGTCCAGAGGCTGGGAAGAAGATGCCTAACTCCATTGTGGCTGGGGAGGTATTCCTGCCAGGA